GGTTTTTTTTCAACGGTGCATTTTCATAAGGGGACAACACCAAAGGGTACTCCTAACTGTGGACACTACGGGGAGGAGGAAATGTAGTAACAGGGGTTTAAACGTTGTCGGGTTCGTTGACCCCCCATGGAAACACTATGGGGCCCCGCAGTCATCTGTGGGTCCCCCTTTTGGGAGGGAATATCAGCCTAGGGTTTCCTGCGGAGTGTCCCCAGTAACTTCGAACCCCCAGAAGATAGGGTGTTAGGGGGGTTTGGGCAAACCCTGGGTGGCAACGGCACATCTCCTCACCTTTTCTACCAAACATCTGGCGTGGGAAAGCCCAAAAAAAAAGCAGTTGGGTGGCGGTAAAACTGCCCCTCTTTTGGGGCCACTTCTTATCACATGGAGGGGATCTTCCTGATTTTGGGTCTCGGGACCACTTTTTGAGATGGGGTTTTCACCTAAGACCCTTTTTCCCCCCATGGGGCCCGGCAGCCAAACCTTTTTTTTTTTTTTCGTAGGGGTGATGGGGGGAGTAATCCCAACATGTGGAAAAATCTGTTTTCTGCCTTGGCTGCATTTATCTTCCCCTCATTTCCCCCCCAGGCAGCATGGCTGTCATTTTGTTTAGGAAACGATGTTTTTAGGGGAACATTGTTCTATTGTTGAAAGGAAACGGAGGCATTGATTTGCAGAGGGGGAAAACAACTTTTATGACAGGTCGGAGTCATGTCGTTGGGGATGTGACAATCCTGCTGAATCGCCACCAGCACGCTTGAAGGATCGTGGGAGTGAATTTAGGGGTTCGCCACCTTTTTTTGTTTAAACCCTTGTGGTACAGTCCAGCTGCTTTCTTCTCTTCTGTCAGGGTTTGACAGAGCCATCTGTTTAAATAAAAACTGCACATGTGCCTCCCTCTGTCCCGTGCCATGCTTTTCTCAGCATGATTGCTGGGGTGCTTTACTGCAGAGCGCTTTAGAATGGAAGTTCATGACGCAAAAAATCGGTCGGATAGGGGGCCAGGGGGGGGGGTGGGATGTTTCCCCAAAAAGGGAAAGGGCCAACTCTTTTCAAAAGGGGTGGTTTATAGGCACAAACTTTTTGCCCCGCCCGCCCCAAAAAAGAACGAAACCAGGGGTAGTTCCCCTAAAAGTGTGGGGTCCCTGTGTCATGGTTGTCCCCAAATCCGTTTTCCTTAATGGGGTTCCCCTTTCTGCCCCCGGGGGCAGAAACGTGGCTACTTTGCAGGGGTTTATGTATCTTACTCTGTCAACCAGGAAAGGAAGCCGGGCCTCAGTCTGAGACATACTGTTTTGGTTCCCGATGGGGGCCCCAACATATTTCTTCCCTGGTTTTGTTGACCCCCCCACCCTTTGCCGCTCTGCGGGGAAAGAAAGACTAACGGCCACCGTAGTCAATGGAAAACGAGCGTTTTAACTTGTAAAATTTGTAAAAATGCGAAGTACTCTTTGCTCCCCCCCACACGGGGCCTTTTCCCGGCTCTCATGGCGTTTAGTCTGAGTTTGAGCACGTGACCCCGACATACTCGGGGCCCGTTTCTAAAAGGCATTTTTTATCAATGTAAAATTCCCCCAAAATACAGGTAGGAACCTTCCACTCAAGTTCTATGTCCTAATACGAAAAATATTCACAGGGTCTTGTCCCTTGGGCATCATTTCAAAAAGATTTTTCGGGCCCAGATCTTGAGGCCTAGTTCCTTGCAAAGTGTGTTTAAAATTAAGGGGTTTTCCCAAAACCTTTTTTTGGGCCCGTCGCTTCCCCAAATTTTCCTTTCCCCCTTTACCACGAGGGGGGAAAACAACACATAGCTGGGGGACTCGAAAACCCCTATGAAAAGGGAAGGGTCACAATTCCTGCCCTAAGGACTTTAAAAAAGGGGAGGACAAAATACAAAAATTTGGGGGGTGGCCGGTTTTCCAGGGTTTTTTAAAAGGAAAAAGTATTTTCCTGAAAGCTGACAAAAGGCCTGCCCGACCCAAAAGGTTTGGAAAAAATCTATCCAGGCCAGGGAGGGGTCCTTTTGATTTCCCCTTTCCAGCCCATTTTTGCAAAATTTGGGGTGAGGCTGGCTAGCCAAAAAGCCTTCCAAGGGTTTTAGGTAAAAACGCGATTAAGGGTTTTTAAATTACTGTTTAAAATCTGGTTAGGGAGGGGGTTATGCACTCGGGTGTACCCACCCCTTTGGGGGAAGCCAAATAAGTTGATGAGGGGTCCAATTTTCCATAGAGGGGGTTTAACACCATCCTCTTGCAGTTTTTGGCTTTAAAAACTGGTCAGCGATAAAGGGTCTCCCTACTTCCTGGGGGCCTTTTTCTTTGGAAAAGGGACGATGGTAGCTTTCTTTCCCAAACTCTGGGATGTCCCGGCCCTCCCGACTCGTTTGTTACAAACTTTATACCCCTATTCCCCCTTTTGCCCAACCCGGCAATCATGGGGTACGTAAAACCAACGTTGCCCGGGGGAGGGGGCCCCTGTGGGTTTTTAATGGGGCGTTTTTAGTTCCCCAAATCCGTGAGGTCTTCTCAGTCACATCTTTCCCACTTTACCCCGGGAGCTTTTTTTGGGTTAACCCGGGGTTGGGCAGAAAATCCGTCTTTATATTCCCCGGGTGTCCTGT